CTGCACGTCTCAGGCCTTGTAGCGAACAAAGAGAAAAATCAGATGGCAGACACCAAGGGATCTGGAAAAGGTACTTCTAGCTTCTTCTTGAAGTTCAATTTTTGAAATTTTTGTAGAGGATAGGAAGTTCTTTTCCAACAGCATAATAGAAGGTAGGAGGAAGCTCTCCTCCAACACTGTAATAGAAGTGGGTTTTTCCCTCTAGACTCAGAAAAAGTAATTCAGCACAAATAATTAGTTCTCGTCACTGTCAAAATTATAATCTTTTAACAGAAAATTAAGAATATTCCCTCCAATGAGGGAATTTGCTTTCTACTCTATGCTCTATGGCCAAGTACACCATGGCTCCTTCCTCAAAAATTGCTCTTCTAACACATTAGAGATTTCTTCCTTGGAAAAATATATGCATATTGGAAATGGTTTCTCATTTATGACATAGAATTTGTACATATTTTACTGCGATGTAAAAAAGCCCAGAAGTTCAAAGCTTGGCCAAAGCTAGGCCAATCACAACAAAATTAGAATCACTCACAATTGCAGCATCTTTCCTTTGTTCTCCTCTTCCGGGACTTCTACTAAAATATACTTTCTTCATTTTTGTCTTTTGACACAGGTGGTGATATTTTCCACCAAGACTTTTTGGCTTTTCAGTTACAACAGTAATTGATTGGTTTCCTCTGTCCTGAGAATGAAGTCAGGTTCACCAGCTGGTAGTGTACAAGATCCTACTACCCCTTGTCCTTCTTAAAGACAGACATGACATTTTCTTCCAATCATCCAACCTCCTCCAGTCACCACCAGACTTCCAAAGATTATAAGCGCTGTCCTTACAGCGACAACACTAACTCCCCAGCTCATCAGATCTATCCTATCTTGTCACAGACTTTTGTACCTCTTGTTTGTTTAAATGATCCCTAACTTATCTTCTCTACCATGGGTAGTAAGTAATTCACTCCCCAGACTCTTCCACTAGGCACAGGGAAACGTGAGGCCAGATCTTGCCAGTAAAGACCAAGGCAAAGTAGGCACTGAGTACATCAGTACACCTTTTTCTGCCTCCTCTGTCACAAGGTCCCTCGCTACATTCAGCACGCTGAATTGCTGTGTTTCTTATTGATCTTCACACTCCCAGCCAATTCCATTTCCAACTGCGCTTTAGCTTTCTACATTTCATCAAAATTGATTCTCTCAGTTTTTAGCCTGATTAAACCTACACTTGAAAACAATATGGTATGTCTTATAAAGAGCAATCACTGTACGTTTTTAATAGTCAGAGTATGCCAAGTGGCACAAAGATATAAAAAAATATTACTATCTGTTTGACTCTACTTTCCTAGTTTTATACTACTTCAATACAGTTAGTTCAGATACGTGCCAGTTCAAGTGAGGTTAAGAATCTAGTTAATGTCTAGATGGTTGAATTTCCCCCGCAGTAGAAGTGTAAGAGTTAAAACACGGAATCCAAATTAGAAACTACTTTCTCTTTCTCTATATTCCATTAAAAAGAAATCAGAGATACTAAACAACGTAGAAGGGAATGCTAACTAAACTAAATTTCATTTAAAAGCCTGCAACCAAAAAAAAAGGATGCCTCTAAAGTGATCCATCTAAATTTCAGTTTCTATATTAGATATGAAATTATATTGTAATATTATAAATATCGTCCACAGAAAATATGTATAAGTATACTTATATGCATGTGTGTGATATATTATATATGACACATTATATCATCTACATATGATTACAAAAAACTGTAAAATAGAATACAAGCACCTTCGGGAAAAGCTACAAAGCCACTCTAAGAATATTTAACTTTAACTTGTAACTTACTTCACTCTGCTCTTCACTGCTTTTGATATATAGCATCCCCCTTCTGTCTCCCTACACTATCAAAAAATACAAAAATAAAATCAAGACAGCACTAGTGTGACCAAATCTACAGTTCTTACTTAGATCAAGTACAGTGGCATCAGAGTGAGATTTACCTCAAAAAGAATGGTAACTTTCCACACAACGTTAAAAGGTAGATTTTCACCCTTTCTCTTCGCTTCCTAATTTTAGGTGAAATGCTTCCTATATCAACACTTCCCTTTGATTTATTAGTTTCATTTGGATTGTAATATTGTTTTAGGGAATATGTTAAAAATAAATATAGGGAATACAGGCAACAAAGCTAAATAATAACTTGAAAGAATGTAAGTCTAAGAACCAGGAATGGGCCTTTGACACAAAATATAGCTCACAGTATATCTCAAAAAGTGTAAAAATATTACATACAGAAAATCAAGGAAAAGACAAAGGAAAGTTTCATCAGTTTAATCACTACCAATGGAACAGATCAGTGGCTTGGTTCATAACTCTACTTTTTCCACTTCTGGCTTAGAGTTGTCTGTCACTGGCTCCTCTACTAGAACACTGCTAACGTTAACTCCTCTGAAGTGTTTTCTTAGTTTACCACAGAATCACAGAATAGTTGAGGTTGGAAGGTACCTCTGCAGATCACCTATTCTAATCCCTAGCTCAAAGCAGGGTCGCCTAGAGCAGGTTCCTCAGGAGTGTCTGCAGTCACATTTTGAGTATCTCCAAAGATGGACACTCTACATCCTCTCTGGGCAACCTGTTCGGTGTTTATGCTTAAACAGAATTCCCCGTATTTTAGTTTGTGCCACTTTCACTAGATACCACTGAAAAGAGTCTGGCCCCATCCTCTTTACACCCTCCCTTCAGATAGTTATAAACATTGATAAGATCCTCCTGAGCCTTCTCTTCTCCAGGCTAAACAGTCCCAGCTTTCCCAGCCTTTCCTCCTATGAGAGAGGCTCCAGTCCCTTAATCATCTTTGTGGCCCTTTGCTGCATTTGTTCCAACTGGTCCTTATTTTTCTTGGAGCACAGAACTGGACACAGCACTCCAGATGCGGCCTCACCAGGGCTGAGCAGAATGGAAGGATCATCTCCCTCAACCTGCTGGCAAGGCTCCTCCTCATGCAGCCTAGGACCATTGGCTGCCTTTGCCACAAGGGTGCACTGATGTCCCACTTGTTGTCCAATAGCACCCTCAGGTCCTTTTCTGCAAACTTGCTTTCCAGCTGGTTTGAGTTAATTCCTGTTATTCCTCCCCAAGGGCAGGGCTTTGCATTTACGTTTGTTGAGCTTCATGATATCCCTGTCGGCACATTTCTCCAGCTTGTCAAGGTCCCTCTAAATGGCAGCACAACATCTGGTGTATCAACTACTCCTCCCAGTTTGTGCATTATCTGAAAACTTGCTGACGGTGCGCTCTGCCCTATCATCCCTGTCACCGATGAAGGTATAAGCAGTACTGGCCCCAGTATTGACCCGTGAGGGATACCACTAGTGACTGGCCTCCATCTGGACTTCATGCTGCTGACCACAGCCCTTTGAGCCTGACGATTCAGCCAGATTTCAATTTACCTCACTGTTCGCTTACCTAGTTCACACTTCATCAGTTTGTCAATGAGGACGTTATGGGAGAGGCAGTGTTGAAAGCCTTGCTAAAGTCATGATAAATAACACCCACAGCACTCCCCTCATCCACTGAGCTAATCATCTCAATGTAGAAGGCTATCAGCTTGGTCAGACATTATCTCCCCTTCATAAATCCGTGTTCACTACTCCCAATCACCTTCTTGTCCTTAATATGTTTGGAAATGCTTTCCAGAATGATTTGCTCCATCACCTTCTCAGGGATCAAGGGGAGGAAGACCAGCCTGTAGTTCCCCTGATCCTCCTTCTTGTCCTTCATGAAGACAGGGCTGACATTTGCACTCTTCCAGTCCTCAAGAAAACATCCCCTGATTGCCACAATCTTTCAAAGACAACTGAGAGTAGTCTTGCAACGACATCAGCCAGCTCCCTCAGCACTCATGGGTGCATCCCATTAGGTCCCATAGACATTTGTATGTCCAAGTTTTTTTTAAATGTTCCCTAACCTGATCATGCAAGGGTAAGTCTCCATTGCTCCAGACTTTCTGCAGGTCTCAGGGGTCTGGGATTCCTGAAGGCAAGTCTTACCAGTAAAGACCAAGGTGCAGATCGCATTGAGTAGCTTGGCCTTTTCTGTGTCCTCTGTCACCAGTCTCCTGCACCATTCAGCAGCAGGCCCACATTTTCCGTAGTCTTCGTTTTGATGCTGGATATACCTGTAGAAACCTTTCTTGTTGCCCTTCTCGATTCAAATCCAGATGGGCTTTGGCTTTTCTAACCCCATCCCTGCCTGTTTGGACATGGTCTCTACATTCCTCCAGGGCCACCTGACCCTCCTTTCACCTCTTGTATGTTTCTCTTTTATGTTTGAACATAGGCAAGGAGCTCCTTGTTTATCCATGCAGGCCTCCTGCTACCTCTGCTTGTTTACCTGCACATGAGGATGGACCGTTCTCGAAGTTGCAGGAGGGGATCCTTGAAAATTAAACCAGCTCTCTTAGACTTCCAGGAGCATATCCCATGATATTATTTCAAGCACATCCTTGAAGAGGCCAAAGTCTGCTCTCCTGAAGTCCTGGGTCACAATGCTGTTATTTGCCTTGTTTCCACCTCTCAGGATCCTGTACTCTGTCATCTCATGGTCACTG